GTTATGTAACCTGCAGCCATCCTGCCTGTTGAATCTGGCAAAAAAAAATAATTTATATCCACTCTGTATAGCACTTTGTGTTATAAAGTCTCATGATTTGATTAAATTGTTTTTTTGTAGCTGTAGTGATCTTTGCTTAAGGTATTCAGCTCTTTTTAATAGCTGTGGAGGATGAGGCTGAAGTGACTTGTCACTGTCTCTCATTGTAGGTGTGGGACTATGAGGCAGGGGACTTTGAGCGAACCCTGAAGGGCCATACAGACTCTGTACAGGACATCTCCTTTGACCAGTCAGGAAAGCTGCTGGCTTCATGTTCAGCTGACATGAGCATCAAACTTTGGGACTTTCAGGGGTTTGAGTGCATCCGAACAATGCATGGTAAGAGATATTTACAGAAACAACAACGATTGCAGTACAGGAGCTAGTGGTTGACCGATATTGATTTATCAGTGGTCAATGTCAATGCCAATTTGTTTTTTACTTTTAAGACAACAGAGAAGGCGATGGCCAATACAGTGCTATCATTTCTTTTACCCCCTTTTGCATCAGATAAAATGCACCAATTTTATAACAAATGAGACATTTCCTGGAATTAAATGAACATTTAACCTTAATGAATTATGAAAATAAAAAGACCATTGTCTCATTTGCTACAGTCTGCGCTCAGCTTATTTAAAAAAATTATGACCAGGACTTAGCTTAAAAAAAATTTAAAATTTGTAAATACTTGTACTGTGGGCAGTAGTAGCACACACATTATTTGTCTGCTAGACACTGACTGATAGGAGAGCAGTTGTCACCTAAGAATGCCAAAAATCGTCCCGATTAATCAGTCGACCACTAACAGGAGCACCTTCTAAACTGGTGTATCTAATACACAAACTTTTGCTGTGTACATCTCGATTTAGAAATACTGCAGTGTAACTACTCCAATTGTTTTGATTTTCTCATGTTTAGTGTAATGATTGAATGTGATTTTGTTTACACATGCAGTGGTGTGAAAAAGTGTTTGCCCCCTTACTGATTTCTTATCTTTTTGCATGTTGTCACACTGTAATGTTTCAGATCATCAAACAAATTTATATATTAGTCAAAGATAACACAAGTAAACACATCATGCAGTTTTTAAATGAAGGTTTTTATTATTAAGGGAAAACAAAATCCAAAACTATATAGCCCTGTGTGAACAAGTGTTTGCCCCCCTGTCAAAACACTGGTTTATCGCACCTGAGTTCAATTTCTCTTGCCACACCTGTTCGCAATCAAGAAATCACTTAAATAGGACCTGCCTGACAAAGTGAAGTAGACCAAAAGATCCTCAAAAGCTAGACATCATGCCGAGATCCAAAGAAATTCAAAAACAAATGAGAAAGAGAATAATGGAGCTCTATCAGTCCGGAAAAGGTTATAAAGCCATTTCTAAAGCTTGGGGACTGCAGACCATATTTTACTGTTGGTATGATGTTCTTTTTCTGAAATGCGGTGTTACTTTTACGCCACACATAATGGGACACACACCTTCCAAAAAGTTCAACTTTTGTCTCGTCTGTCCACAGAGTATTATCCCAAAAGTCTTGGGGATCATCAAGATGTTTTCTGGCAAAACTGAGACGAGCCTTTATGTTCTTTTTGCTCAGCAGTGGTTTTCGTCTTGGAACTCTGCCATGCAAACCATTTTTGCCCAGTCTCTTTCTTATGGTGGAGTCATGAACACTCAGCTTAACTGAGGCAAGTGAGGCCTGCAGTTCTTTGGATGTTGTTGTGGGGTCTTTTGTGACCTCTTGGATGAGTTGTCGCTGCGCTCTTGGGGTAATTTTGGTCGGCTGGCCACTCCTGGGAAGGTTCTCCACTGTTCCATGTTTTCGCCATTTGTGGATAATGGCTCTCACTGTGGTTCGCTGCAGTCCCAAAGCTTTAGAAATGGCTTTATAACCTTTTCCGGACTGATAGAGCTCCATTATTCTCTTTCTCATTTGTTTTTGAATTTCTTTGGATCTCGGCATGATGTCTAGCTTTTGAGGATCTTTTGGTCTACTTCACTTTGTCAGGCAGGTCCTATTTAAGTGATTTCTTGATTGCGAACAGGTGTGGCAAGAGAAATTGAACTCAGGTGCGATAAACCAGTGTTTTGACAGGGGGGCAAACACTTGTTCACACAGGGATCTATAGTTTTGGATTTTGTTTTCCCTTAATAATAAAAACCTTCATTTAAAAACTGCATGATGTGTTTACTTGTGTTATCTTTGACTAATATATAAATTTGTTTGACGATCTGAAACATTACAGTGTGACAAACATGCAAAAAGATAAGAAATCAGTAAGGGGGCAAACACTTTTTCACACCACTGTATTACACTTGACCAACATTAGAGATAAGTTGTCAGAGTATGTTAGCATGACAGAGCCAAGCCTATAGTTTTCTCAGAGGCTTTCAATATGAAAAAAAAAAAAAGTTATACCATCTGAAATGTTCAGTTTAATTTTAGAATACAAAAGTCTTTCTAATGTAAGGTTAGTTTTACACTGACTTTGCACATGTTTATGACCAATTACACTCTTGATGGTCATCCAGGCCACGACCACAATGTGTCATCTGTAGCCATCATGCCAAATGGTGACCACATAGTGTCTGCCTCCAGAGACAAGACCATCAAGATGTGGGAGGTGGCCACTGGGTAAGTGAGGGAAAGCCTTGTTTCAGCTTGCCACCACCAGCTCTTATAGACTTAGACTGATGTAGTTTTACATTTTGAGCATAGTTCCATATTCAAATTTCCCCAGTAATATGGCAGACGTTTGCAATTAATTTATGCTAAAAGCTTTGACAGTTTAACTTACAATATGTACATCTGTAGGTACTGTGTGAAGACCTTCACCGGCCACAGAGAGTGGGTGAGAATGGTGCGTCCCAACCAGGACGGCTCTTTGATTGCCAGCTGCTCCAATGACCAGACAGTTCGTGTCTGGGTGGTTTCCTCGAAGGAGTGCAAAGCTGAGTTGAGAGAGCATGAACATGTGGTTGAATGCATTGCCTGGGCCCCTGACAGTGCTCACCCCACCATTCTGGAGGCCACAGGCTCAGAGGTATGTACAGCTAGTGCATCCCTGGATACTGCCATTTCAGACCTATCAAGGCATCTTTCTGATAAGTTGTATTACAGTCTTTTTGTGGCTGTTTCTTTCATTTTCCTGTCTCTGGTTTGCAGAGCAAGAAGACTGGAAAACCGGGCCCTTTTCTCCTGTCTGGATCCAGAGATAAAACCATTAAGATGTGGGATGTCAGCATTGGCATCTGCCTTATGACTCTGGTGAGTTGTCTAAGTGATGGTTTCTATTTTAGTGTCACTATTCATGAGTGGGACTGGTGGGCAATTAGTCTTGTTTCTTCAGGTGGGACATGACAACTGGGTGCGTGGGGTGTTGTTTCATCCTGGAGGAAGATTCATAGTGAGCTGTGCTGATGACAAAACCATACGGATCTGGGATTACAAGAACAAACGCTGCATGAAGACCCTGTGTGCCCATGAACACTTTGTGACCTCTCTGGGTAAGAAACGGTTATCAGTGGCATTAATTTGACATCTCCTGCTTCTCAGACATTTCAAAATAACCCTGCATCCAAGCTGTAAAAATACAGAACATAAACCCAAGATGAAATGCCAGCAGCATATGCTAGATTAAACTTATTTCAGCCTTAAGTTGAACATATTTAAATCAAGTTTATCTTCAGTGCAATGCATCTGAGCAAATGTTGACCTCTCTTGCAGATTTCCACAAGACTGCTCCCTATGTGGTGACTGGCAGTGTTGATCAGACAGTCAAAGTCTGGGAGTGTCGCTGAGTCTGCCCCTGTTTCCACCCAAACTCCAAACCCTGCCCTGAAGTCCAGCACCTCAGCCCTCTTTCTTCTATCCTGACACCTAGCCCAGCCCCTCACCTGTCGCACTCCAAACCATAGTTGACCATGGCGCTTTACCTTCTCCCTGTATCCTGCCCTCTCCTTCAACTCCTCCCTAATGGCAGTCCAGCCCTATTAAGATGACTATTGTCCTTTTATGTAAATTATTCTGGATGTAGGGTACGCTTAATACATGTCACGCAATCTCTGACACATAAACACAGTGAAAAGAAGTATTCCTTGCATGGTGAGTCAAACAAAAATTGTATACTGTTCAATTTGCCGAATTTGCATACTGTTGTCATGCCTTCCTGTTGGGTTAAAAGGTAAATATCCTTGTGTGCTGGCACAGGTGGATTTTGGACAATAGACAGTGCACAAAAACCAGTGGTGCCCCTTGTTGAAGGGGTTTAGGTTTTGTTTAATTTTGATTTGCTCCATACTTCTGTTGTTGTGGTCTGTCTCTGTGTGGATGGTGTGAGGAAAGTAAGCATAAGAGACAATGAGTTGAAACTGTCTGGGAGAAGATGACAACTTGAAGAAAAAAATGGCGCATGATGTGGCTCCCTGGTTGCATTACATGAGGTTCTGTGGGCGAGTGCACATGTACATGTGTATACATGGTGTGAGTGTGTGTGTATGTGTTTGTATAATATGACAGGAGAATCTGTTCACCATCTCTGCTCCAATGGCAAGTGGACAGAGAGGAGGCAGTTTCTCACAGACTGTATTCGTTCCTACTACTACATCTCTTTTAACAAACTTGCTTTCTAGTGGACACTCACAGGACCTTAATGATTCCTGAGCTGCTGAGAGCACAGACGTGACCCATAACCGGTGTGTTTTACAGAGGAAAAAGTGTGCTCACCTTTTGATGAGGTTTGTGTGTTGCCCAGTGCCCTCTCGCTCACTGTCTCTGCCTTGTTAACCCACTGAGGACTCCTTCACATGGGACTTTCATTCTGCTTTCTGTGGTCTCACTGCTCTCTCTACACACACATACACTCACAAATGCACATACACGCACTGTAAAAGTTGTGTATCAATATATCTGGATGTCATTGTTTGCAGTATAATAAAATAAAATTCTGTAAATAGAATTAACCTATTTGTGTGCTTTCTTTGAGGAAATGAGATGAAGGAAAACTTCTGGATGTCAGATGGGATTTACCACTGCAGAGTTTGACAGTGAGCTCAGATATTGCAGCACATCTTCAGTCCGTCCCATGTTAAATAAGTGTACACATGCTTGCCAAAGCAGCTGTGAACATAGTTGCATAGCAGTTTGTTGTACTGCACTTTCTTTAAATACTAGTGTCTTGAAACAGGCTGGTACTAAAAGCTTTTATGTCAGGTAAGGGAAATTGATTTAAATACATTTAAATCACATTTGATTGGTTTTCACTCACTTGTTGAGTATGCTTTGAGACAAGACATTCAGATTTTCTAAAACACTTTGTTTACCTTTAAGCATATTCTCAACCATGAAATTGGTATGTAAATCCTTTGTTGTGGTGCTGTAAATTTTGGCACAGTGTAAGTAAACTATAGTTCAAGCAGAAAAGTATTGTGGGGCAATGGAGGCTAATGACAGCCAGCCTGTGGCCATGAAAAATGTTAGTTTTAATTTATAAATAGGTGCGCTAATAGTTTAATATTTAGAAATGAATTGGATACTAAACAAAAACTTAAAAGCTGCTGCTGCTTCAGACTGCAAAAATAATTTTATGTATAAAAATTTGATTGTAGTGCTACAATATGAGCAGCAGTCACACTGATGCAGACAGAGGAGGGCAGATCAGTCCTGACCCAGTAGTTTTCTAATGAAAGATGAGTTGTGACATGGGGAAGGATGTGGAACAAAAAAACCCCATGGATGTTAAATGTGATGTGGATAGAAGACTATAATAACAGTTGACATTTATTTTTCAGGTGCAGCCCCCTTATACTGAGAGGCAGACAGCAGGGACAGTTCAGGCCATTTTATCAATTATGTACGGTACCCCTTTCTCCTCCTGTGCTCACACACACCTGCTCACTCACCGACACAGCAGTTATTCTTCTGTGCTGTACGGTGCCCTGGCAACAGTTGCCAGGATAGTGTGTGTGCAAGCACCACACCTTATCTGTCCTGCAGGTCTGTGAAGGTGGGGAAATGGGATGGGGAGTGGTGGAATAAAGGACAAATGCAGATCCCACAGCACAAGGTTCATGTAGTAAAAAGATACTGATAATGGGAACAGTATGGTGGACTGAAACTGGTGAGCTAGCATAGAGAAGTGACATGTGGCTTCAGGGGATGAAATAAACCTTTCACAATCTGAAACTACCACAGAGGCACTGGAGCAGAAAATTTGGCAAACATCCACCCACCACTACTCATGCCTTGTGGACACTTTCCTCCTTAGAAGCTCGCGTTCTCATTAGTGTTGCTTCCAGGTCAGCGGTTTCTCTCTCTTAATCACAGAACTGAGATGTAGCAAAGTGAGCTAAAAGTCAGCATTGAGTCAAATTATTATACAGGTGTGTAATGTTCTACTATAGTTCTCTTGAATGGTATTCTAATCTCTGAAAGACCTGAGAAGGACAGTGGGGAGGTCTGGAGCAGCACTGGACAAGGTGTGTTAAAGGATGTGGTGCTCTCTAGTGGTAGCATGTATTGAGCGGCCCACGTTCTTATAAGGACAAAACCAGCCATCTCCCTGCACTATAGGTGAGCAGTGGTTACATAGATGTCATGGAAAAGATGACATGAACATCTTGCACAAGGCAGCAGATGAGAAACATTGAAATTTGTTTTTATTACGTCTACACAATAACTAAAATCCAGAAGAAGCTTCAAAATGAAGACATTCTTGTACCGTATGTCTGTTTCTATCCAAGTCTAGACTGTAATTAGAGTTGTGGATGGGTAAATACGATGTCTTACTTAAAGCTACAGTATGTAACTTCAAAATATTTTTGTTGTATAAATCTGCTCCAAAGCTTGTCTTAATGTGGGGAGGTGCTGACGAAGCCTCCTGTGACCCAGACTCGCTGAACAGACCTGGCAGCAGTGCAGAGATTAGCTTCTAAAGGTTTTTGAGCAGGATTGACCTCTCTAACCAATCAGAGATTTTCAGTTATTTCTGCTTGATCAGTAGGTTTATTGTAGTTTCATAATGACAAATATCTGAAGAGCTGGGCAGAGCGTGGTGGAGCGTAGCAGATTGTAGTAGAGATTGTAGTGTGTAAATATCCAACAAGTTTACATTTTCAATTCTACATGTTATTGAAATTTCTGTAACTAAGTCAAGAAGATTTGTCTTTTGTGGTGCTTAATTGTAAACTTTTGCAAAAGGGATTTAAGTGTACAGAGATCAAAGGTCTCTTCAGCAGAAAGGCTCAATAGCACTCACTCTTTATAACTTTGCTTTCGAAGTATGTAGACATAATGTCCTTGCACACAAAATGCTGTGACTTGTATCCACTTTGTCATAAGTCAGATTACAAGGCACCAGACAGACTCCAGCTTCTTGTACTTTGGAGGTCAATGTAGACTCACCGCTCTACACACTTATCTCTGGTGTAGGATGTTTAACAATAGTTTAACCAATATCAAACATAAAGTGCATCTTTCAGTTAACATTACACTTAATTCATGCTTGATTTGACATAATTTCCTTCACACACACACACAAGAAAATTGACCAAAAACTTGAGATTCTTTTCCCTGGGTGTCTGGGTTACTAACTTTTGATTGTAAATTGTATCATCACATACAATACAGATAACATATGCTCAGGTTTCTCATTCGGTTGCAGCCAAACAATTTAGGAATAGTTTTTATTTGTCCCCCAACTCTGTGCTGAGTGCATTTAATCTTTGAACAGTTTCTCTGTTAATGTCTCCTGCATTGCATTGCTTCCTCTTTGTCTCTGCTCTGTAGACCCACCAGTGATGCAGCACTTCTAACTGGGTCAGCCCATCCCTGCCTCACATCCCTCCCACTCTCCTGGTCTCTCCAAGTCACCCCCCTCCCCATCCTCCTCTTCCTCTTTTTCATTTTCCTCTGCATACATCCCTATAGACATGCAGCTCATGTGCTTACCATGTGCTGCAGCTCTCTTCCCTGTTTTCACCCGCTTCTGCTTCATTCATATTCTCATAAATGCTGTCATTGTATTTCAGCCTGTTGCAAAATGACTCCCACCCCCTCACAAACACCTACACACTGAATTGCATTCCTTTTTGTTTGTTTCTTTTCTGTTCAGAAAAACCTGGTTAATTTGTTGCTGGACAGTTTAGATGGGAATGGTGTTAGTAGGTTTGTATGTGCAGGCATGGCAAGGACAGCTCTTATGTACATCTGAGTTGCTGTTTTGATTGGCCTAGATTGTCACACCCGGTGATGTGGTGGAGGATATATACAACTGAGCGGTGTCCAATCAAAGACTGTTACCATGCAGCATATCTATATCCATACAGTCATATACAAGAAATAGACAAACATAAACCAGTAATCATAACACTAAAGTAAGATGTATTTTTCTCTTAGGGAGATACATATGCTGACATAGCATTCACCACAACTGCTGTTATAATACACAACATTCAACAAAGCATGCACCAGACCATATGGAAAGAAGGAGTAGTTACAGAGAAAGGGGAAGTCCTTGTGTGCAGTGATTCAGAAAGATGTTTTAGCAGTGTGGGAGACAGAAATTGTGCGTGTGAGATGATGAAAAAAAGAAAAAAAGATGCAATAAAATAGCTAGAAGGGAAAAGAAATAAAGTACTTGATTAAAAAAAAAGGTAGATAATGGTGAACAAAGTAACATTTTTGTTAACAGTTTGAAGGTGTTCAAACAACAATTACATCATAAAGAATACATTTCAACATATTCCATTCTTTAAGTTAATAGATTGTTGCTGTCTATATGCAGTATTGTTACCATATGTATATACATTGTTTAAATTATTCTTATATTCAGTGTACAGTTAATTCTGTTCTGCATCCAAGGACAGTCATGCACCTGACTTGTACTAAGGTACAGATTGTTATAGTATGTTAATCTCACTGTACAGTGTATAAACAGAATATTTAGGTTCTAGTCTTTACTTTTTCTATTTTATTTAATCCATTTAGTTGTATATAATTTAAATAACATTTTTATTACCTCCTGCATTGTTTTTGTGCTTTATGTAAAGTGTCTTCTTTTGGGATTAATAAAGTGCTCTATCTGTCTATTCAACACATCCTTAGGTTCTTTTGGCTAACACTTGATATTGTAACACACACAATGTGACAGCATTTTAGCTTGGAAACAAAAATATATCTTTTTTTTTATTTATTTATTGTAAAGCACAGTAAACCTTATCACATAATAGTTGCTCATCTAAATGTTAATCTCAGTATGTGCTTCTAAAACACATTAACGATTTCTGTACAATAATAAAATACCATTCTTGACATTACACACCATTTCAAATGTAATGTTGCAGTATCTGTGGCTCATTACTATTTAAATAATAAAACTTATTTGAACCTTAAACACGAACCGACTGAATAATAAGAAGAGTACATGTTGATCAGATGCTCCGCCTCATACGCTAACTCCCGCCCCTCGCCTGCTTGATTGACAGCTGTGAACTCGAGACAGCAGGGTGGCCAGTCACGCTCTCGCCATGCAAATGAGCCGCGCTCGGGCCGGGCGGGTGCCCATGTGGACCAGCACCATGCCTTGTTGTTCTGCGCGCTGATTGGTCCGCTGGCGCCTGATCGGTCTTCATGTGCTGCGGGCCAGCAGCGGGAGCAAAAACACGGAGAACGGGTGAGAGCAACGGACCGTCCCTATCCTCAATCCCACCTGGATTCCCAAATACACCATGAGCCATTTTATTCCATGAGCTTCAAGGCAGAGCTTATAATAATTGTAATATCAATGGAAATTATATTTTGTCACGTGGGGAGTAGCGGTTGCCAGCACGGCGGAACAGGGAGTAATGCGGTCTCCGGGTTTACTCAGAGGCCGTAGTGATAGGGCGGGGCAGGAACTCGGGAGGGGCGGGTCTTAACGAGAACACGACTCGCCTTGTTGTGTGTATTCCCGTGCTCGCCACGCCATCTTGTTGCAATCCTATTTTTTACGTATGCGAGGATCTACTTTACGTTAGGCTGGATTAAAAATTGTCCGAAACACAGGGTACTAGAACCTTCCGTGCTGCAGGTGTGGACCGTACACATAGCGCTTCCTAGCGGTACTCACTAGCTACGCCTCGGTCTATTCCCCCTGCTGTCCCGGGCCACCGGGTCGCCTGTCGTGAGGGTTAGGATTACGCGCAATGAGCCTCTATATACTTTTGGAGGCGGCCAGATATCTGGAATGGCAAGCCCAGCAACAACAGATTACACGTGGTAAGTTGAACAGTACACTGGTGCATCGTGCTCAACAGGCATGGCCCGAAATTACAATGTATGGTAAATCCTAAACTGTCTTTTAGGGGAACGGTATCCCGTTACTATCAACGGCTTGCATTTTCAACCGACCCGCCTATGAGGAACGGAAGTGTTTGTAGTTTTTGTTTATCGTCCTGGGTTCATGCCAAAAAAAGAGCCTGAGATCAACTGTAGGCAGTTCCAGAGTAGATCATTATTGCACACATTTGTCTTCCCTTAACACGGAAACGGCTAAAGTTGTTTTTCTGAACTACTTTGCGCGCTCTCGGTGTGTGTGCTATGAAGTCGCTGAATGTAACCTGTGCACTTTATTGCAGTGCATGCATCTAATAGGTTATAATCTGTTTAAGTTGTGATGAAAGTGTTATTTGACATATCTGCTCTAAAAGAGCCCTTTCAGATTCGATTCGCTCCAGTTTTTGTCCATCGGGAACCGGCAGGGCGGTGGCGATCAGCGGCTGCTCTTTACATAATGCCCTGACATTGCTCAGCTATCTTATGACACACACTGGGGCGGGCCCTCACGCGCTCACCCCGTCACATTTGTATATCTGCGCGCGAGCATTTAAAAGATTCCTTTGTGTTTCTGCTTTGTATTTGAAAAGGATGACTAATCAATCGAGATAATGATCATTGGTAAGGTGAAAGGAGACGGGGGGCTGCTTTTTGTTTCTCCCCTCTGATGACGTGTCAGACAATCAGACCCCCTTCCCGCGTGGTAGGATCCGCCCACAGCGACCACGTGCACACTGCCCCCTTCGTTCCTTAGATACACACCTACAAGCACGCAAACACATTAAATACACACTCCTCGGCCCCGCCCTTCCCATTCAGCCTCCTGACAGTAGCGGGTCGGGGGTGGGGGGTAAGCAGGGCAAATGTAACCCCCGCTACTAACCCAGCCTCTCTCAATGCAGGGTTATGTAATTTACGTTTGTACAGGCACTTTACAATCTGGAGCAGGGTGTGTTTGTTAGTGGATCATCTCTAATAAAATCAAATATGTCCACGCGATCTCAGCTGACATCAGCTTCCACTGGCTGCACGTCAGACATCACTTTTACTTCTACTTGGCTCCTTATTTGGGATTCCATTTTAATGTGTGTCATAGTAGTAAATGAAATAAAAAGATCAGGCTGTCCACTTTTGCTCCTGAATGACATCAGTACATCCTTAAGCTTAACTAAGATTTTTACCCAGTCTGATAAATCAAGTGAAAATGGGACATGATGTCTCTCAGTTATACAGCCCTCCTCCCTGACACTGCTGGGTACAGCACTTGTTATTTCAGCTCCCTTGCCCTGTGTTGTTAAAGTGGAGAAGGTTCTAAGAAGTGTTTTTCAAATTGCACATAATCATTTCAAACAGCCAGCCATGGAGGAGCTCTCAGCTGCTAAAAGTCTGAAACTGGCAGCCTGGGAAGAGTCCATAAACAGCCAGTCATGCTCCTTGATAATGCAGCGTGCCAAATAAACATAAACAGCCAATCAGGTGTATAGTTTGGTTGCTCCCCTCAACATGCAACACAACAACAGAAGCAGCATCAAACATGAGGGAGAAGATGAGCGGAGGACATGTAGAAATTTCTGGAATGATACTAGAACTGCCACTAGATTAACAGATTAATTTATTTTCTTTAAAATGAAGCTGAAGTATGCCTGTTATTATGAGAGCCCGGAGTGAGTTTTCAAAAAGCTTGTTTTGTTAGTCCAAAGCCCACAAATATTCAGTTGTCTAGTTTCTTTTGTGACAGAGAAGGGCGTCAGCTCCTCACACTGGATAATCTGAAATCACTGAATAATGAAAAATGACTGAAGCACACAACATCAGCATATTGTGTAGTACATTAATTGGTCTGTAGACAAATCAGTTACTTGACTAATCATTTCAGATAAGATGCATAAGATCTCCGACCTTTCACTGATCAGGAGGGGTTTAGAAGAGATGACAACACCTGAATAACTGAGGACTAACATTGTAACTCCGAGGTATCACAATTAATAGTATCTGACTGGATTGCTGTCAAAATACACATTTGCAAAAGAGCAGAGAAATAGTTTTGTTGTGCATGTCATCATGACGATAGTGCCCTCTCTGGGGTGAACTATTGCCCTAGGTGAAATGAAATTGCGTCATCGGGTGTTTGCAGGCCTATGGAGAAGTGAAAGTGTTACTTAACGCGCAGCCAGGCATGTTGGCATGCTCCTTACGGTGCTGATGGCTGGGACGTGTGTTGGCGTTGTGCAGGTTTGAGGAATCCCTGGGATTCTGTTTCTGATACTGCTGTTTCTATGGTAACCAAGGATTTTCCACATATTTTTGAGTCTGCCTGCTGCAGTGTGCAATACCTACTCAGTCATACCATTAAGTCTGTCTCTGTGCATTCGCAACATGGGCACAGCATGGGAACATTTCTGTCCTAAGGTGTGTACATGTTTTATATGCTCATTCATATGTTGTTTGGTTGACCCTGGTTGACAAGTGGCTCCGACAGTCCACTAGTGCAGGAGCATGCTCAGTGCGGGTCTGGTTCAGTCACAGAGCAGTCAGAGTGGGCGGCTGTCTCAAGTCAGGAAACGGATGCAGACCTGTGCCTGATTCTCCGATGACATCATTCTTTGTGTGTGTTTCTGTTTTGTGCTGTCACAGTTGTGTTATAATTCTGGACCCAAATGCAAAACCAAGGCAAAAGAGGCTTGGTTACAGTCTGAGCACATTAAACTCAAGCTCGCACCGAGTCCAGACAAAACCAAATTACTGTTATTTTCTAATTCATGAAAAACAACATCAGACACTGTTGATGTTGTGACAGCTCAGGAGAGGAAAATAGATTCTGTGTGGTTTGATGAATGTCTTTTTTTAAAGCAACATATTGAAAACCTTGTAAAGAAACTAAGACTGAAGTTTCAAACACAGGACTAGTTTTCTCTGGAAACCAAGAAGAGGCTGGCTGCTGCCACCGTCATACCAATCTTTGATTATGGCGATTTGTCATCCACAAATGCACCAGCACAATGTCCTCATTTGTTTATCTGTGTTTATTGAGATTTATTACAAACTTAAAGTTGGCCAGACGTCTCTCTGTGCACATAGCTTATCTGAGCCTTCATATGTTGTTACCTGGATTTTAGTATTGCTTATTTGTGTTAGATGTTGTGTTGTTCAGTGTGAAACTTGTAATGCTGCTGTTGTGTCCAGGTCTCACTTGTAAAAAAAAGATTGCTAACCTCAATGGGTTTCCTGTCTCTCACAGAGGAAGAGCAGTGCAAAGAGAAGGAGCTCATCAACAGGGAGACAGAGTCGAAGCGTGTGGAACTTGTGACCTCTCAGCCAGTCAGAGCTAACCATGTCACTTGGAGCGATGACACTCACCGTCAGCAGGTGCACCACCCTCCTGCCCCTCCTCCCTCTCTCCCACCGCCACAAGTCCCCATTGCTGTCATTCCAATGGTTCCAGTTGTCACAGCGACATCCTTGGTGCAGCCCCTTCCACTTACAACGCCAGTTGCTGCAGTGGCGACATCGCTGAACTGCTCCCCACCAGCTAAGAATGCTTCCTCCCCTCCACAGCAGCAGCACCAGCAGCACCAGCAGCCGCCATCTCGCCACCTGTTGTGCGCCGCCCCCCAGGTGAAGGTAGAACCTAGTGAGCAGGTGGTGGGGGCAAAACCCAGCCAATCACAGCCTCAGGTTCAGATTCAGTACCCAACCTCCATCAGCACTAATGGCCCCAGCTCTCAGCACGCACTGGTTCCACATCAAGCTCCGCCCACATCTCAGCCGCACCCGAACGGAGTGAAGCTGGAGGACATGAGGGGGATGGAAGGGAAGAGGAGACCAGGAGGGTCAGTGTGTGTGTGTGTGTGTGTGTTTGTCAGAGTTGATAGAGTTTATGGTTGTGTTTGATTGTTTGTTTTGTTTCCAGAGCGGGGACCAGAGAGGTGCATAATAAACTGGAGAAGAACAGGTTAGCCAGAATTATGTGAACCGTTGTTGTCATTGATGTTAACTCATCAGGAAAAGGAAAAACAGCCCTGTTTTCTTTTTTGCTTGACCACCACATACACACACATTTTTGTCTTTATTACCTATGTTAAGAGTTTTATAAGCCCAAAGGTCATGAGTTTCCATAACTCGCTGTGACCCATGAAGTTCCTCTCGAACATACAGTATTTGGTATTATAACATCGATTTAAATGACAAAGATGTGGTTAAACCTCTCAAGCAAATGAGTGAATATACAAAAGACAACCATATCAAAAGTGTGACTGTGTCATTTTTGACTGTTGTCCCTCAGGCGAGCGCACCTCAAAGAATGTTTCGAGACTCTGAAAAAGAACGTTCCTAATGTTGATGAGAAGAAAACGTCCAACCTCAGCGTTCTCCGCAGCGCTTTGCGATACATACAGGTAAGGACGATTCTGATAAATATTTATTTCAGCTGTCCCAATAGTGTAAGCCTTTATACTGTGGTCCAACAATATCTTTCATCACCACTCGCTTCTCCATCTTACCCTGGTCTTGAAATGTCTGGCTCAGCGGGGGAGACGGCACGAGCTTTGGTTCTGGGTAGCTGATACAATGCCTGCTTTGTTAGCCGTTTACATTGGTTAGTCTCTTGTGACTGTGATATGGCATTCACCAAACAATGGTGAACCAGCCTATAGTGCATCATCCAATATCACAAATCACCTTAAGAACATGGCGAATACACGTGGTTTCTATATAGTAATGTCTGCTTGTCATGACAAGCTTAGAGTTTATTTTCCCTTAGAACATGGGTTTGCATTTTAAACATTTCAGTGAAATTCCTATGCAGTGGAAACATGGTGTAACTCCATCCTGTAGTTCTGGTAGTGTCATGCAGTATGAAACAGAAAAGGAACTGGTTGGCCCAACATACAAAGCTTGAGAAGAAGAAGGAGTAACATTTTTGTGGGGACAGATTTTTAGCATATGGAATGAAGAGTTAATATTGCATCTGGGGGGGATGGAGCTGAAGGTGTTGTGAGGGAGGCGACTGTGTGGCCTGAAGAGGTGCGTTTTCAGTTTATAAAAGTAGATGAGGCAGGATTTCTACTCTAGAAAAATGAAGCCCGCAGCCTGAAGCTGGATGGAGCAATTCCTTTTCTGTGGCATCAAAGCTTCATGATTTGTGAGTTTAATGGAATACGCAGTGGGGAGTCAGTGGGAGAAGCAAAATTAGGCCGTAAGATGGAAGAACTTGTTCAAAACAGGAATGGCTCAAAGATTTTAGTCCAGGGAGCATGACGTGGAGTGCTGTGAAGACGTTTGTGACAGGGGGATGCTGATGCTGATGAGCTGCTTAGTTAAAGTTGGCATGTTTTAAACATAATGCAGAGGACAGGTCATTGCATTCACCAGCCACAAAAACAAATGCCAGCAGTGTAGACTTCCAATGCAGTTCCAGGAAAAAAAAAAAATCCTATCTTTGGAGCGATACAATAATCAGTAGGTTTTATTGTGGATGAGCGACTCACTGCACCCCCCCCACCTTCTCTCTTGCCGCTCCTCTTCACACAAACCTGTACACATCGGTCACTCTCCCTCTCTCTTTGCCATGTGAGGTGTGAGCACATGGCCAGCGCAAGGCTGATGACGTACCTCACCCACTCCGATCTGCTCTGCACCTCTAGACTGCAGAGGGAGGGAGACAGTGAGAGGTATCAGGTGCACTAACGCAGCAGGGTTTTCACAGTTGTAACAGTAGTATCAGATTTCCTTTGTCTTTTAACCTCTGTCTGTATCGCCAGTTTCTTCTCTTTATCCCTGTCGGTCTCGTCCCGTGTCGCCCTGCCGTCTCTTGCCATTTAGAAGACTTGGTAGCCATAGCAACAGGCGGTAGATGGTCAGGGCACTGTAGTCAGTCTGTTTCTCCATGTTTGTCTGCATGGGAGAGTGTGTGTGTGTGTGATGTAAAAACTGAACCAATCAAATTCTGGATACGTTAGTCTTTTTGTCAGTGATTACAGATGACGGAGCACCGCTGAGACGTGTCAGAGAGTCGAGCCTTTTCATTCACTCCTGTTGGAAATTCAGATCACGTCTACTCAGATGCATACGTGATTATGGCAAAGGAAAATTATTACCACTCTTTAGACATTTTCTCTTCTGTTGTTAGAGAGGATGTGTTATAAGAGGAAGGATAAAGGAGGCATAGATTAAGTGTAGGAGGAGTTGGGGGGAAGGGGGGAGGTGTCAAGGGAGCAACGGATGGGGGGAGTAGAAGGAGAGGGAGTGTGGGGTGGAAAAGTGGAGGAGGCAGGGGTTGGGAGTGATCTGAAGCACTCAACTGGCAAACGTCCAGTCACATCTCTCCTTATGTCTAATCACCCCGGTGCTTCAGCCAGTTAGATACCTTCTTATGTTTCTCACAAACTGCTGCTCAAGCAGCCTAATCCTCAGGGAGGAGGTTGCCACGGAAACAGTTATGGGTGCAGCTGTTTCCTAGGTGATTTGCTGCAGGATTAATGGTATCTGGGTTTGTATGGGAAGACCTTGAAATTATGTGCATGGATGTACACCTTCATATTTGTAGTCCCTCTGTAGCCCATGTGAGCTGGTGTTTAGAAGAACAGTCACCGGCTGTGTGGAGCATATGTGTGTCAGTAGTGTCATGCTTCGTCTTGATGTCTTGCAGAAACTATTTCAGTGAGAGTCCATATGCAGTAGTCATCATGGAAAAGGCAGAAGTTACCATTAGCACAAAACTGTCAATATCACTAATAATTGTCAAATAAATTGATCTGAATTGCTTCATAATCATTTTCTGTCATTTCCAAAACAACCACCTCTAAAATCTGTCACTACAAATTACACGAAAAGCCTGCAAGTGTGAAGGCACATTGCGGGGAGGGTGCTGAGTGAGAGATGTTGCGTTGCTGTGTGGTGGAAGAGGTCAGCAGGCCTGGACTGGTAGCTGTTGCAAAGAGGGCTGTGGAAGTGGACAGGAGCGATGAGGAAAATGGGTTCGCATGTGAGGGGGTCACGTGCCTGTGGCCAGCTCTGCTCACTGAAGTGAGTGTCCTATAGTAGGATCATATGTCCTCAGACTCTCTTTGCCTCTGGTGCTTTCACCATGAGTTACTTTTTCTGGGTTGCACTAGTAGGACAGTGCTTTCTGCCAGGTCATTTAGTTTATGTTGACTCAGTTGATGTTTAGTTTCTAGTAGTGTGATGTAATTAATCATATTTACCAGCATCTGACTGCTTGTTGTGTACCAAGACAATTCTATAGCTGCATCTTTTCCCAACTCTCCCTCCCCTGCCCTCCTTTACCCAAACATTTCCTCCCATACGTCCCCTCTCCCTAAATCCTGCCTGGTAATCTGTGTTAATGTTCTTGGCCTGTTGTACTGTATGACGTTCATACATCAGCTGACCCACACAGAAACTGGGTCACAGAGAAGGTGCGGTGAGGCTTGGAAAGCTGTGCTTTCTCCCTCCCTCCCTCTCTCTGTTAAGTTTTCTTCCTGTGTTTTTTTTATTATTATTATTTTTGTAAAACTACACACACATGCTGCTGACTACTCAGTGCATGACAGTGTTGTGCAAGGAGTTAATACTTTCATTCAGTCATATCTGACTGCGTCCTCAGGGCTGCTGGGGCAGTGATGAAGCTGTGTGACAGTAGGACCCTCTCAAAAAGCAAGCATGACATCAAGGAATTGGGATGGGCCTAAGTAGAAAACCTTATGTGTTCAGTAATGTACAAGCTGGGAGAAATGTGGGAACAGCCAAGACTCCACAGAGAAAGGAAAGTTGGTCTGAATTCCTTTGTCTGTTGCAATGCCAGCCTCTCAAATAGTGGCCACGGTCTTTTATTACAAAAGACAAAACAAGGCCTCTGTTTCTCTTTAAACACGTCACCCTGTTTCCCTTTTTCATGATCTGCTTCTGTTAATTTGCTGTTGCTGCTATAAATGCAAACTCAACACCTCCTCCATCTGTTTGGTAGTAACAGGGATCCAGTGAGACAAGATCTTGTGCCGCATGACCTCGCAGTATTAAAATGTGATGATATTTCTCATTGAGGTGAAAAGCTGTCTCGCAAAATCAGTACATAACAGAACCACAGTCGGTGGTAAAACCTTTTACAGTGCTTGCATATTGTCTTTTACTGCACATGATAATTCATACTCAAAGCAGAACTGAAGTGACATTCATTACAAGATGCTTTTTGTTACTTTCAGTGGAATTAACGACTATTTTTCCAGTCATAATATTTTGTTAGATTTCTTAAAAACAGTATTAAAATATCGTCTTGTCTTGTTCTCGTGGACACAATATCATGTCACATCCCTAGTTCTGGTATTTCAGGGGTATAATCACCTTACTTCCCTCAAAGGCTTTATTAAAAACTTCTGCAGGAAGTGCTTCTTTAACAGTAGTTTAGCACGGAGGGGAAAAAACCAACAAAGCAGGAATAATTGTTGGTTTACTGGTGGAAATAATTCTGTGGAAATGTTAATATTATGCAGTATTTGCATGATAATGTGTGAAGTTTATGTTTCTACATCTGTTTTCTGGGGTTCAGCTGAACATATACTTTTGTTTGAGAATTAATAGAAGATGTGTGAACTATGGACAATTCATGTTTGTTTGTCTGCTATTCATGTACCTTGAATCCTCATCTGCTCTGCTGTCTGTGTGTCTTCTTGAAGACTCTGAAGAGGAAGGAGAAGGAGTATGAGCATGAGATGGAGCGTTTAGCCCGAGAGAAGATCACTACGCAGCAGCGGCTGGCTGAGCTGAAGAACGAGCTCAGTCAGTGCATGGATGTCATGGAGATCGACAGAGTCCTCCGACAGACCATTCAGCCAGAGGACGACCAAGCCTCCACGTCCACCGCTTCAGGTACAGGGAACAGACGCAACACCTTGCATGCAGATGTTCGTTTTCCCCTGCATATTTGATCCTCTTAGAAGTGCAGTAGCTGATGAGGTTTTCTTTAATAGTCATGGAGGCACAGGAGAGTAAGCAGTGATTTCAATTTAGAATTTCTGGTAACACAAATGTTCATGTACCTACCTAGAGCACATGCATGTGGCACTGTTCCTTGTGTTGCATCATGACTAGCAGTTTCCTCTCTCGTCTACAGAAGGAGAAGACAACTTTGAGCAGGACATGGATGAAGATGCCTCCACTCCTCCTGCTCCCACGTCCCTCCCCAAACCAATGCCTCCCATCTTACAAGCTCAGCCACTCCTTACCTCTCATCTGTCAATCCAGCACACCACCTTGCCTCTCTCTGGAGTCCTAACTACGCCCTCTGTCTCTGCTCCCCCTCCCCCTCAGGCCATCGCCCCAGCTCCAGCCCCTGCTCAGCCCCCTCCGCCTCCGGCTCATTCCATGCAGCCCCCGGCTGTACAGGTCCAGCCAACTGTCATCGCTCATGCTGCAGTCTCACACCCTTCAGTCATCCAGACTGTTAATCACACCCTCCCTGCCAATCACGCACATCGCCCCTTCCCCTGGCCCTACTTCCTCTACTCCTCAGCCGATCACGGCGACTCCAGTTGCAGCAGCCACTCACCAGCCAATAACCGGCCAGCCCATCGGACACATCACCGTCCACCCGGTGGCCCACCTGGGAGGCCCTCTGTCATCCCATCTCCCGACTATTTACCCCCAGGGCGTGTCAGTGTCCCAGCCCACCGTGGTGGGCCACATCACTCACACCTTCACCCATCACACCCTGCCGCATGTCCAGGGTGCTCCCCAGGCTAACACTGGAGCCCAGGTGAACAGCGCAGCCATGGTAAGCCAGGGCAGCCCGTCGCTAGGGAAACCCACAGCAGTGCTGGCCCCCCACCCCCAGCTGGTTGGACAGGCTGCCGTCCTCAACCCTGTCACCATGGTGACAGTCCCAACCTTCCCTGTCAGCACACTCAAACTGGCCTGAAACATGCAGGAGGAGAGAAGGATTCAGAACTTCTGAATGAATTTTCTCCCTCCTATCAATAATCAAAAGACACATGAATATTTAGAGATAAAACACATCAACTGTTTTTGGACACCTCATGATGAATATCTTCAGAGATATTTTGGTCACAGCTCTGTTAGGTTGTGAACAATAACATTAGAGCAGATTCAGTGGGTCAAGCCATTGTCTGTGAAAACAAGACTGTGACATTTGTCTCCGCTGCAACGACAGGAACTCAGTTTTATCTTCCTTTCTTGCCTTCTTCTCTCCTTCCTTCCCTTCTTTCTTCCTGTTTGCTCTCCTTGCTGTACAACCAGAAGCACTAACACATTAAGCTCAGCTCGCACTCAGGCATCAAGAAATGAATGGAAGTGTTCATTCACTGAAGGAAAACACGAGGGAGAGAGAGAGTCGTTTGTCATTAGGCTGTCGCTGTGCTGATGCAGTTTGTACCTGTTTTGTCTTCACATAGTCATGACGTCATGTTGGACATTGTGGTGGGATAATGTCACTGATGTGTTTGTGAGCAGGAGGAGGGAGGGAGTCTGGATAGATTACACACAGGGCTCTGATCAGCTGTGAAGTCAGTGACGTTATGCAGACAGGTAAATAGAGCTACAGCATTGTCATTTGTTTGCTCATTTATATAGCTTAAATGACATTCATAATGTCCTTCAAAATACAGAGCAGCTCCAGAAATGAGGGGAAGGATTAGGACAGGGATTGCTCGGTTTGCTTAACATACATCAGCATCTATTATTGTTTGCTTTGTGGAGACGTTGTGTCAAGAAGCAACATAAACTTTGCCTTTTAGTTACTGCACCACCATCAAACTACTGATTTAAAAGTAGAGCAACAAGTATGAGCTCAGCAGTCCGAGAGTCCTGAAACAGCCTGGAATCAAAGCAGGAAACCAAGTTAGGATTCGGATTTGGTAAAATGGGATTTTCCATATTGTTACAGTTTGAAAACGGTTGAATAAAGGTTTGAAAAAGTAATTCATGTAGCCAGTTAAATGTATAAGGACAGAAGAACGCTACTTTTTAGGCAGTAAAAAACTCGGTCAGAATTACACCTCAACATCTTCTAAGGGCTTTTTGAAACAGCAGCTATAAGGAGAAAGGCTCCGGGACCCATCTGTTACTGTCAGATTGATGTGATTCTCACTGTGAACTGACCTGGCATGATGACTTTACTGTGAGAGATCACAGTCGCCGCAGAATTGTCGTGAATTCGCCACCAACACGTTTATGAATTGGTGACATTTGGCCTATTATAGATTTTTTTGGATGCTGAATAAGAACCTGCAAGAAAAGTCTTTTTGCAGATGCCTCAAGTTTGTGTGGTAAATTTAATTTCAGAGATCACCCAGGAAAGGAAGCTGACAGTTCTGCTCTCAAAACATTCAGTGACAGGTTTTCTCATGGGCAATACTGGTTTTCCTCCTCGTCAGCCTGATGCAACAGCTCCCTCTGCTGCCGCATCTCGTACCTCATACTGATGCTACTCGCAAAACGACCAAGGGGCTCAATACAAACTTCTTGCACAAAGTCTAGAGAAATAATGAGAGTGTACAAGTTCACTGTCACCCTTGAAAACTGTTGCTTAACAAAAACCGTTTAAGCTGAGTGAAGTGATGTACTGTTATATTTCATACAGTATAGAATGTTGGTCATGTTATAAACTCCAGCACCTGAGAAGGTTGAAATAGCTCCAGAAGAGCTAGTTAGTTAACCTTAAGTGACTTTTTTTTTCTTTATGGAAAAAACCTAGTGGAGATAAGTTGTTCTCATTTGGAATAGTTTGGATATAGCACAGAAAATATTTTTAAAAAAGACTGGGGAAAGGATTGTACCAGCATAAGATCAGTTTGCTCTAGTCCACAAATGAGTTTTCTTAATTTTTAAAAGTGGGAAAATGGGTTGTGGCGCCCACTTTTCCTCGTCTTTTGTGTGTTCATGTGCGCAGGCTCCGTGGCCTATACATGTCACACCATTAAATCTCCCGTCAGTGTATGTCGTCAGTGTTATGTGGATCTGCTCCCTGCTTCTTCTGCTGTTTCTCTGTGTTGTCTGTGTATGTGACTGTATGTTTTATATTCTGTGCTATAGTTAATCCTACTGTTCCTGTAGCATGGCTGTTTTTGGTTATACAGTTTTCTCTGTGCATGATGTAGTTTGTATGTGTAGCAGGCAAGCCTTTTTTTTTTTTTTTTTTTTTTTTTAATTAGGGGGGGGTTTTTTTCTGTTTGGGTGCTATCGTGTGTGCCTATACTCTGTTTTACTGAACACTGTGACAACTCTGGCAGAACACGAACACACTGAGTGAATGGAAGAGACAAAGATTTACTCTCATAATTGGGATTTTTTTTTGTTTGTTGTCATATTTCTACGTTTTCCAGTTTGTGAGTTGGGCTGAGACGTGAAGTGGAAAAAGTAAAAAACAAAAAAAGATGTTACTCTTTTCTTAACAATATAGTAATGTCTAATATTCAGTTTGAGGTTTGTAATATTTGTGTGCGTATGAAAGTTTTGTAAATCTGTGATTGTATGCACGTTTTGGCATATGATTGTATGTATCTTTCAATTTTAAGTGCTTGTTTATTTTTTTGTTTGGTTTTGCATGTAGATATTAGTTTCTTTTGTTTTTATGTTGCTTTTTTTTTTGGAGGGGGGGGGGACCATGTACAGTACTGTATAACATGGGCAGGATCTTGGACCTCATGCTACATTGATATTATATATGAATATAAAAACATGTTTTCCCTATGGAGAAAGTTTTAAGTTATATATCGCCTGTACACTCTGGGCTGCCTTTTAGATCTAACTGTCCACTGTTTAAGATAATGATAATAATGGATAAAACATATTAATGAAGAATTATGCTGATGAAATAAAGATTCTTAATAAATCTTATTACATTTACAACACATCTGCTCTTGTGTTTAATTGTTTTGTGCAAAAACAAACAAACTGCAGTCAGCTTTTTAATGGATATTTGTTATATTATGTTATTTATTATCCTTATAAAACAGTAAAATTTGAAGGTTAAAATACAAAAAAGAACACGTGATAAAACCCAACATCACAACAGTGACCACTAGATGGCATCATTATCAACGTTATTAATTAAGGAGACGTCGTGGAACCCATTAATAAAACAAATAGAATAAAATGATTAATTGTAGCGGACACATTGTTGAGATCTGGGGAATGTTGGCTCCTTTGTTCCTAGATCTCCTCTTCCGGGGAATTATGGGAGAATCAGCAGCCACCTCTCTGGCTGTGCTACATCTGCTGCTGAATCCTCTCAGCACCTCTTGCATTCTCCTTTGCAGCAGAGGGGAATACATGCATAAAGGAGCCGTGATTGCCTCTGCCACTAAGTGAGTGAGTAAGAGAAACATACCTCTTAATCTTTCTCAAAGATGAGTCTTTCCTTCTCAGTGTCCACGATGGCCCATGGCAAAGGAAAATCTGGGTCAGTCCCCTCTCCATCCTCCTCACGCAAACTAAAACCCATAAAGTGAAGGATGCTAACTATTAGTAGGTCTACTATACGATCCATCCAATAATAATAATAATCAGTTATTACTATTATCAATACCACATTTTTCATAAAGGATTTATAAGTATTAACTGGTTTGCAAAGCTGAAAGCGTTTATATCTTCACAGATATCTACAGTCTGGAATAATTAAAATATTTAAACGTTTGTGAAACCAACTTTCGTCTCAATGTTTCCATATTCTAAGCAGACGCAACGAACTTTACGCCAAAGAAGAAGAATGGAAGGCGAGAAGACGATTTGAAATAGCGAAGAAGAGTTGAAGCAGAGAAGAAGAATAGAAGTGGTTAGGAAAAATTAAAATAGAATCCACGAAAACGTCGAGTTAAAATCTTATTTCGCAAACTATTTCTTCTTCGAGACAGTAAGAAGACACCCGATGTATCACAAACACATCTGAAAACAAAAGTCGCTGCTGGATGACAGGTGAAAATGAATGTTTGGCGTTATGCATGTTAATATGGTCTAAGGTTGTGTTTGAAGCACATAGAACTCTAAAATCACTCATTCACTTCCTTTTGTATATTAGTTTTTTAAGCATCACGGCAACATAATTTGCCTGGATAAGCCAAAAATATTCCGTCCTACAGACAGGGCTAACCTACCCATTTTGCCAACTAGGGCCTTTATTACAAAAGAAGTTCAGTTTAGAATATGAACCTTGCTCTTTTTTATACACTGGAAACTGAAACTTTAGAACATATTTTTTCATGTTATGTTAGTAAACAAAGATCCACACCTTAATATCTTAAAAATTCATACTGGTCGGGGGTGTGAGGGGTTGCAAGAGGAGTGTGGTAGGCATGTACAATATGGCCACGGAAGCCCGCACGTTTCAGTTGTGTCTTGGTTCGCCATACTGCTAATATAGCAGCATAATTTTCCTAGTAACGATGTAAACTACGGATGCCTGGTTGCGACAAACTATTCAAAATGCAGCCTCTAGTTTGAAGCTAGTATTACCTGACTGAGTACAATTGTAAGTTGAATGCTCTGGTTGCTGCTAATGTGACACAAAACACTAACGTTACACAAAGCTTGAATTACTCCCAAATTTAAATAACATAATTTGTAATATTCATCTTTTATTAAATTAAATACAGTTACAGTTTTATATGTTCACAGCTCCGTGTGTTGCATGTGGTCTGAATGTTTTTAACAAAAAATACATAAGATATTCTAATAAATAAAAGACCCAGCAATGTATCTTAAACTACAAAGTGCCACGTGTTTCACAGCTTCTGAGCAAAGTGGATAATAGAGCCCAACCTGTAAATTGGTCATCATATTTTAGCTTATCACAAATAATACCATCAAAATGTAGGAACTGTAATAGTGAAATGCAGAAGATATGTCTGAGGTAATTTGGAAACAGTGTTGGGACTTGTCAGAGGGGGCTGACAGATTTTGTGGAATTTAAAGACTTCTCATCAGAAATGTTTGTTTCTGTTATGTGTTTATGTCTAAGCATAAATATTAACCAAATCACTGATATTGTATTTATTAATGAACTTTCAAATGTCAATAAGGGTATCAAATACGTATACATCCAGTGTTGGCTTGGCTCTAGATGAAACTGACTGAAAAGGCACTGTTGTCTTCAATTTATTCCTTAAAACTGGGCTTTGTAGTTGTGTCCTGTCTTGGTAGCCAGATTAAGCAGTCAGAGAAAAGAGCTGTCCTCTGTAGAGCTGTCCCACAGCACTGTGCTTGTCTCTCTGGGCCCGTTAGACTGGCCTAGCACCATGTTTTTGACCTGCAGTGGTTGTGAGGGCTTTTGTCCTGAGGGGTTACTGTGTTCGTAGGTTTCAGCGCCTGAATCTGTGCTCACAGATCTGCACAGCTGGCTCTTGTCTTGTAAGTGTTTCTTACATTCTCTGTTCAGACAAGAGTGTTCGTACTCAGTCCTCATGTCATAGTCGTCATATGTGTGTTGCTGTCCATCCGAATGGAGGTCAGGTGCACTACTTTGGTCTTAACTCTGAGAGTGGTGATTAAGCTTTGTGTGGTTATTTGCATTGTCTGAACACTGCTTGTGGCTTGGGCTCTGTCTTTGTGGCGATGAACATTGGGTCTGTTCATGTGAAATAATGGTCTTGTCCTGATGGTGAGCGTGGTTCTGTTGATCATGACTGTTCCAGAAGGCTCTGCAGAGCTGCTCTGACTCAGAGAGCAGAGGCAGGCCAATGTTCAGGTGCATGAACAGGTTCTCCAGCCACTCCACCAGCTTGGAAAAGGAAGGACTGAAAGAGAGAATGACAGAGTTGTAATAAGGGGCTGTCAGACCCAGCCTGGTCTACGCAGTAGTGCTTGGGCTAAATATGTAATAGGTTCCTATGCATATGTAGACCTTAATCAGCTACTCAGGAAATTACCTTATAATTTTCTCTTTATTATAGTAAAGGTAACAGATGAATACAGTAATTAGTGATCAAGTTAAGTGATCACTAATTAGTTTTATTTACCACAGCACACTGACATCACTGGGTGGAAGTGGTGACACTGGAGGTGGTCATTTACTCCAAAATATACAAGCACCCTACTAGTTCAACTACTAGTTCCAATATTGATGGGTATGGTTGTTCTGTTAAAACTGAAAAATTAAAGTGTGATTTGAAACAAAATATAAAGCAGATGCATTTAGTATCACTCTGAACAATATTTACATATAGCTTGATATAAATTCAGGTTTGCAGTTGTGGTGGATTTGTGTAATCATACCGTTTATCAGCATCCATGTCACAGCAGAGGACAGCCAGCGGCAGGAAGGCCAAAGGGCACTGTGGAGGGTGGTACCGCTCCAGGAAACCAGCTACGTTTAGCCCAAAGTCATTCGAGCGAGGAAGGTAGTCGGGATCGGCGCTCACTCTACCTATTATCTGAAGAAAGACAGATATAGATGCTGTACCTACTCAGCTTTAAAACTGAAGAAATGTTTGATGAATGGAAAGAGAGGATATTACAGGTCTGTCATTTACACATTTGCTCTATCAGTACCACAGCCTATGTTTAGTAATATTTGACTCGACTTAGATGGTCTTACCTCACATATCATAATACCAAAGGAAAAAATGTCCACTCTTTCGTCGTATGTTTTTCCTGAGAGTTGCAGAGGAAAGATTGAACAATATCATGCACATTGTTATATACCGACTCATGGTGGAGCTGTAGAAATCATTGTTTTCTTATCAAATCTGCTATTAGGTTACACCTTAGAATAATATCACATGCATACTGTACAGAGGACTCTTCTTTTATAGGGAGCCTATAAATACAGCGTGAGTTTGGGTTTAGGTGCCCTAAGGGTCCTTGATTCAGAGATGCACTCACCATGGATCATCTCAGGGGCCATCCAGTAGGGATTTCCTACTACAGTATACCGCTTCCTCCGGTCAGCCTTGCGGAGCTCTGACAGTGTCCCCTTGGCAGGCCGTTCCATGGAAGACGTTCTGCTCAGATTCCTCTCCTCCATCACCAGCCTGGCTAGTCCGAAATCTGCCACCACCACGGACTGGTTCTAAACAAGCAAGAGAGAGAAAGAAAGAAAGGTTGAAAGTGCCATTTATAAAGTGTATGGTGCTTGTGATGAGCTATTTGTTTACCTCTCTGACCAGGCAGTTATGTGAGTTTAGATCTCGGTGGATGACATTCATGGAGTGTAGATAGGCCTTAGAAGGAGACATATTATATATATTAGGAAAAGTCTGTACCAGATTAAGGACTAATTATGGATTTTTCTCTTTTATGTTAAGGATACTGACCAAAAAGACTCACCATTCCAGCTGCAATGTCTTTAGCATAACCCACTCTTATACTCCAGGGAAAATCCTTGTCCTACAACAGCAAGATTGTATTCAACATACAGTGTCTGTGTGCTCTGACAGTGCTCAAGGAGAAACATAATGACCTATTTTTACTTGCCATCTTTATGATGGTCTCTCGGAGAGTTCCTCCTCGGATGTATTCAGAGACGAAGTTTATACGTTTGTCTTTATAAAACAGTCCAATGAACTTGAGAACATTTGGATGGTCCAGACAGCGCATCACCTTCACCTGTACGTACAAATGCCTGTTGTCATCGTAGCATCATGAAAATAGCTCAAATAGTAATCATTTTATTGAACTAGTGGTTGACTTTTCAATGGCTGATGCTCATCTTTAAAGAGCAGACACATCTGCAGACATTTTTGTTAATCATTTTCATATATTGATCCAATTAATTGGCCAACCAGTTAATCAGTCGAGTTTCAGCTGTGCAAGGAAGAATTTTTGATAAAATCCAGCTTTCTTATTAGCTCATGATCTAATGTGGCAGTTAACTCCTTAGGTCCCTTAGATTTAATACAAACTCTGGCTTTTGCATTTCTATAGTCTCCTAAAGAACGTGCCCACTGGTTTATTGTGCGTGCTCTGGGAGGTTAAATTGTTGTGCATCCAGTGATTTATGGATATCAAATATTTATATTTCCCTGTTTCTTACATTGTCAATCATATGACTTTTACTACTCTGACGTCCACTTACCTCCTTTAGGAAAGTCTTTTGTGTCTCTTCGTCAAAGCTTATCAACTCTTTCATCACCATCACCTCCCCTGTTTCTTTATGTGTTACCTTGACAGAAACAGGTTTATCACAATGCTCGTTTAAAATAAATCTTATAGTTGTTTAATATGTTGAAAGTCACCTATTGGGAAATAAACTAAACTAAAGGGCCAAAGAGAAGGAAAAGCAATTGTTGTACCTTAACAGCCTGTCCAAAGCAGCCCTTGCCAAGCACTTCTCCATGGATGAGGTCTGAAGGTCTGAAAATGCGATGGATCCGATCTCCAGGGTCTACTCGAAGAGACTCTGAGCGAACCATGTCTCTCCTTTGAGATAAGAGCGATAGTGCTCCAGGGGACAGAGGACATTTATCTATACTACAGCTGCGCCTGGGGGGGAAAAAAGACTTAGATAGAAAGATAAAAGTAATGAACCAAAGTAGGCCCATTGTTGGCGCTTACAGGATGTGTCTGGATCGCATTCCCAGGATCCCTTGGTGCTGAGGTGGTGAGGGGTTCATCCTGATTTGTTCTTCTGTCTCCTCCGCTGGACTTGGCTCCTCCTCCAGACTTGAGAGTTTACGAGTTGAAGCGAGTTTGTCGCAGACGCACGGGTCAGGACAGCTGATGTTGTCCTGGGGGTCATTTGAGTGAAGGAGGTCATCAGGAGACTGTGGGTTGTGTTCGATAGTCAGCTGCAGAGGTCTGCTTTTGTCCTGGATCACACGGTTTATCTAGATGAAAGAACATTGTGCTGGCCTTTGGTGATGTTGTTTTTCAGTGTTACTTATTTAATAGTGATTTTGTGGATTCAAGGAGGTGTAACCTATTGTTTTTGATCCTCATGATATTATTGCTTAATCAATGGGTGAGGCTTACCTCATCGGGGGAGATGTTGTAGACAGGGTTGCCGTTGATCTCCAGTACTTGGTCACCAGTGTGGACAGAGGACAGCAAGTCAGGGCTGAGGACAGATGAGTCTAACCTGAGGCAGAGTCAGAAGTGGTGGAAAGGTGGGGTAAGCCAAAAAATAAAGGCAGAGGCGCATTTGGGCCTTTTTGGGGTTTAGTTGGAGATTAGCACAAATTAAATGCAAAATTCACTCTTGTCATGTCTTTGATCAAGAGACTCACACTGTCACAGTGACAACAGGGCTTTTATCTTGGCTGAGGTCAGCGGCTACAGTCAGGCCTTGTCGACAGCCTGCATTGGGAGGGAGGGACACCAGCGCCACCATGTGGGGACTCGTGGTGAGTGGAGAAGCAGACGTCACAGCTGATACTACACCCAGACGGAAACAGTGGCCACTGCAGAGTAGACAAATCAGCAAATCAGAAGACAGGTGTATATGTGGACCAAGAATTATAGCTTTTCTATTTGTTTTAATGACAAGTTTAGCATCTTTCCTCCAGCTACATAATGCACTTGCTTTATTTATTTTTTTGTTTACCAATAGAGTTTGGAACGTTCAACAAGCGTGTAAGTGTCTCCATCTCCAATGACCATTTCACAGCTCATACAAGTGAAGCATTCTGGATGGTACTTCTGCTCTCCAGCAACCTATGTATACAGAGAGGCAATGTAGTGGAATGTGGAAACACAAAAATGCAGAGGCCAAGGGGATATCTATCTATCTATCTATCTATCTATCTATCTATCTATCTATCTACAGTATCTATCTATCTATCTATCTGTCTATATATCTATAATTTTTTTTTTTTACAAGACGTCCTTTGTGGGCTCAGATTTGAGGGACCAAATGCAGGTCTGAATTCTAAGAGTTATTTGTGAATATTCCTGGATCAAGGCCTTGTAGTGTCAGGATGCTTCCAGAGGATATCCGCTGGTTTGAGAGTTAAAAGCAAAAGAAAACATTTAATTTCTTATCA